AACCCGCCACCGTAGGTGTATGTGGCTGGTGCCTTAGCCGCTTGAACCACAGGCACCGAGCCTCTTTTGCTTTCTTTTGTAGAGACAGTCTCACTTTGTTGCCTTCAGTAGAGTGATGTGACGTCACGGCTCAGAGCAACCTCCAACTCCTGGGCTTAGGTGATTCTCTCCCGAGTAGTTGGGACTACAGGTGCTCGTCACAATGTCCGGCTATTTTTGTTGCAGTTTGGCTGGGGCCAGGCTGGAACCTGCCACCCTCAGCATATGGGGCTGGCGCCCTACCCACTGAGCCATAGGCACCGCCTGATGGTTTCTTTTCTGGGACTGACGGGTACTTCAGGGTTCATAGCTAGGGCATCGGCTTTGTAATTCCCCCATCTGTGGTTCTCCTGAAAGTTCTGTAGCTTTGCCAATTGATATTTATCGCAAACTGTTCAAGTATCCCAGTGCCACAGTGGTAGTAGGTGTCACCTGCCTGCGTCGGGGGACAGTGTGTCCTGCACCTGTAGTATGTCCGGTCGGGCCTGGCCCATAGTGGGGCACTGAATAACACAGATGAAAATCCCGGCCCTCAGGAGCTTCTCTTTATGGTAGGAGACAGGTGGACTCCTCACTGCTAACCCATAAGCTGGGATACCTGTTTTGACAGAAAGGAGCTGACTGGGGTTTAGAGAAGTCATCTGCCCGAGGCTGAACCCAGAGCCCAGTTCTGAGATCACACAGATCCCACAGGGGTAGGAGAAAGGGGGCTGGTAGTCAATCTTGGTGAAATGGTGACAGTTATTATTTCGGTAAGAGCTTTTGACAGTGAGTGGTACTGAGGCAGCCAGTTCATGGTCCTCAGGTCTGAGTTCCCATTGGCTGCCCTGACAGCTGAGGGATTGGTTGACCTTCAGAGCCCTCAGAAGCCTTTCCCTCCCAGTGCCTGGGACACAGTGGCATCCTTTCCCCTGATGCTGTCTTCCACCTCCCAGTCGGAGCTTCTTTTTCCTACCTTTGTGAAATATCTGCCGTTTCATCCCGGAATCCGCTTGCCCCTCGGTCTCCCACCTGGCCGGCTGTGTTGGGTGCCCCTTCTCCCAGCTTTCACCTGCTACAGACTCACCCCAGTTCATACTCTGCCTCTGTCATCCGAAGAAGCAACAGCCGGACGGAAGCAGCCTCAGGGACCTCTGGGCTCCTGCTCAGCTTTTTTTTTTTTTTTGCAGTTTTTGGCCAGGGGCTGGGTTTGAACCTGCCACCGGCATATGGGGCTGGTGCCCTACGCCTTTGAGCCACAGGTGCTGCCCACTCCTGCTCAGCTTTTTTTTTTTTTTTTTGAGACAGAGCCTCAAGCTGTCACCTGGGTAGAGTGCTGTGGCATCATAACTCATAGCAACCTCCAACTCCTGGGCTCACGTGAGTCTCCTGCCTCCGCCTCCCAAGTAGCTGGGACTATAGGTGCCCGCCACAATGCCTGGCTATTTTTTGGTTGCAGCCCTCATTGTTGTTTGGTGGGCCCAGGCTGGATTCGAACCTGCCAGCTCAGGTGTACACGGCTGGCGCTTTAGCCACTTGAGCCACAAGCGCCGAGCCCCTGCTTGGCTTTTGATCATCCCTGGTACACAGTTCCCTTGCTGTAGCCAGAGCCGAGGGTGGGCTTAGGCTCCCAAACGTTCAGAGCTTAAACCCACGATAGTTTAGTTTTTTGTATTTTACAGGTGGGAAAACTTTGGTCTAATAACTTCTAATAAGAGACAGAATCAAAATTCATTTTGAACCCAGCCTGACTTTCAGTTCAAAGCACAAACCACATGCCTCAACTGCCCCCCTCAAAAAAAGGAAACCAAATCACACTATTGCTAGTTGAAGAAAGCAGGAACGCTGTCCAGGTGAGTGAGTGTCTATGTGGACCATTCCGGGACGGTTTCCCCAGCCAGACTGGGCTGTCTCTTTCCTGTTGGCTCCTATGCCATTTACCCTTCTTGGTGTTTAACTAAACAGAGCACTTTTTGAAATAAAACTGTATCAGACCTAAATGGTGCCAAATTTATAACCTGCCGTAAATTTGCAGAGTTGTAAAGCTGAATGAGTTTCCCTTTCTTTGTTTTGTACACCTTAATTACTGGGGAAGAAGTACATTAAAACTGAGACCACGGGTTAATTAATTTGTCCTGGACTGTAGGATTTTATGGATAACCAGAACTAAAAGTAATGGTTGTGTAGGTGCAATTGATTAAACATGGCTTATAAATGTTACAGAAATTCCCATAATTAGTCCCACTGCAGCTATTTAGCCTGGGAATTTTATAGCAGGCATAAATTATGTAGGTGAAAAGTAAGAAAAATTTTGAGTTGACGTCGTGGCATTTATAGAAGCTATAATTTGAGGGAACCTGTTTTGCATGATTATTAATTTTGCTTTCCCAGTTTTCCACAATTCCACATTTTTTAAATTTGCTTTTTCTGTCTTGTTGCCATCATCATGTAGTGACTCTCAGGTGTTGGGCGTGTTAAGTGTGAGGAATATCTTCCTAAAATAGACCACCAGCATCATTTCTAAAAGTGCTTGAAAGTAACCCCAGAAGGAAGAGACCTGTTTGATCACACTCTTCAAAGTCACTTCTGCATATTTAATAGATTGAAAAGGAACGTTACAGGTTATATTTAAATCACGTTCCCTGTCATTGGATCTTGACACATTTAACCTACCTGTTAAAATGCAAGTTATAAATAGCTTCTCTTTCAAAGGTGTTCATGATACCTCATTGGCTCTCCTGATAGAAAATGCAAATGGAGTTTGAAAAGTGCCGGTTCATGGGAGTGTGAGCAGTATGTTTTCTTCCAAACTTGGTCCATTGTCAGCCACTGGGTTAAAAAGCTTGTTTGCCTTTGAAATGGAGATGGCTTTGGCTTCTAACGGGCTGGCTCAGTAGGTAATGAGGAACTATTTCCCTTTTCCAGGGGAGCAAGCAGCTGTTGAACAACTATCCTGTCTACATAACGAGCAAACAGTGGGACGAGGCCGTAAACTCTTCAAAGAAGGATGGAAGACGGCTCCTTCGATACCTCATCAGATTTGTTTTCACGACCGATGAGCTTAAGTACTCATGCGGCCTTGGAAAAAGGAAAAGGTCAGTGCAGTCAGGAGAGACAGGTCCCGAAAGACGCCCTCTGGATCCAGTTAAAGTAACATGCCTCCGAGGTACTGCATCCTTCCGCTCAGTGTCCGCCATTGTGATCTCATTTCACCGCATTGGCTGTGGCTCCCCCGTACAAGTGTTCAGCCTCACTGCCTTTTGATTTCTTTCCGCTGAGAACTTTCAGGCTCCATGTGCCCCATCTACTCGGTATTGGGAAGCTCTCTTTAAAAACCTTCCTTTGCTTTAACCTTGTTGTTCTCACTTGATGATACATAAGCATTGCCTAGCACCTCATGTTTCACGCTTTAAATTCAGAATTTCTTTGCTGCCAGAGAAGGCCACTTCCAGAGAAACTGGAGCGCTGGGGATGCACAGAGGAAGGGAGGATGTGGAAGTTTTTTGGTTTTTTTTAGATCAGTACAGTGATCGTTCATTTCCACTTCTAGCCTGTGGCCCCATCTAGATACCTTCTCAAGAATACTCGCTCCAACTCCTTAAATTTGTTTAGGAATAATTTTCCTTAGTGCCTAAAATATATCTTGCCCAGTAAAACCTTTCTCTTTTGGTCTAAAAAAACATTTCTGCATTTAAAATACTGCTTGGACTTTGCATCTCAGCTGGAGGGTGGGGAGGGGGCATCAGGAGGTGGGGGTCCGTTCAGTAGGGGCAAAGAAGCACAGGCTTAGATAAGCAGAAACATTCCAGGGCTGTGTGAGAAATTCCTATCTCAAAGCTCAAATTTTAACCGAGATGGCTCAAGAACAATTTTATTGGTTGGAAAGACGTAATATTGATCTACTCTGGGTAGCGATCAAAACTTTCCCTGGTGAGGAAATCACATTTTTAAAAAAAAACATTATCACCGATAAGAGCTTGGTTATTGGAAAGGCTGCTGTCATTTTGTACTCCCTCCTGGGGTGCCCACATTGATTCTGCACCTTGTGTACCTGAGATGCACATGTGGTATTTGTTAGCCGCTGAGATTCCCAGCCTCACCCCTGGAGAGTCTGAACCGGCAGGGATGGGGAGGCATGTCACAACCACCCCAGGGGATTCTGGTGCAAGTGCCAACACTGAGGAAACCACCTGAAACAAAAGAGCCGTTACTAACTAGGCTCAAGTGCGACAGAGCATCTCCTGTGGGACAGCTTGAGAATCTCACGTACTCAGAATGACAGAGTGGTGGAAGATTATGGAGTTAATTCACAAAGAGGCAGCATTGAGCTTGGAGGCCTGACTAAGCTTGCTGTGCGCATGCATGGAAGCTGCCCTCAGGTTTATAAAGGAGCCAAGAAAAGGGGTCTCACGAGTGTATCACGTTCTAGACATTTTT